TCCATCCCATTCCCAGCCCAGCAGGAAGGATGGTTGGGTCTGGAGGGGTTATTTATCCGTGTTTCATTAAACCCACCTCTTTAAGGCCCCTTCTAGAAGCAGGCTGCACTTTTCTGACGTTATTTCAGTAGAGGAAGAAATGTAGCTGGGCCCCGTCAATGAGGATTATTTCTGGCCATTAAAGGGGAAAAAAATGTTAACTTAATTGCATAATATTTTATAATCCAGCATCCACTTCTCATTTACAGGCTCTGTGGTTTTGTAGTCCTTACCTGCTTTGCTCACCACTGATGTCTCCAGCCACCCGCACACAGGCTCGGACCACAGCAGTGAGGACCCGGCTGCGAGCGGAGCCCCTGGCGTGCGGCACCGGCTCTTCTTGCCTTGGGGACCGTGGGTGCTTTGCACGGCCATTTCTGCAGCACACCTGGGGCATGCCCGGGGATGCCCACAAAAGGCTGCACATGAGCTCAGGAGGAGCTCAGGAGTTGATGCTTGCGTCCGATCGAGACTTTAGTATGGGTGATTACTCTGTATCTGCATTATCTCTGTGTTTTGCTGGGATACCAATGCTTTTTTTTGAAGCTAATGCTATGTAGCAGAAATCACAGACTGATCTCTGAAGAATCTGTCCCATCGGCATTAGCACTATTTGACAGGCCAGAGCCTGACCTAAAGGCCACAAAAGCAGAAAAGACTGCTGTTGCCTTTGGGTGAATATTGGCAGGTTGCTACAACCACACCACGGGGGAAATTTGGGCTCTGCAATAGCTGCCAGCCTGAAGGTGACAATTTCCCAAGCCAGAACATCTCATCTCGACAGAGACCAGGTCAGGTGTAAACACACTTCTCCCTTGATACACACAAGCGTAATTACAGTCCCTGGAATTGCTCCGGGAAGAGCACTGATGGTTTTCCCCTGCAAAGAAAATGAAACTCACAGGAATGCTTTTTTCTTCTCCCTTTCTTCCATCAAATTATGCCCAGGAACTCCCTCAGATATGTATTTTTTCACTCAGCACATGCCACTTCAGATCAGCTGGGCTGGATCCATCCACAAAATATGCTGAACAGTTGGTGCTTAGCCCACACAAAAATCCCATCCACATCCACAAGTAAGGTGTTCCTCGACTTTTCTTACCTACAGGACTTGACTCAGCTGGTATTTTCAGAGCTTGCAGGAGCCAGAGAAGCAATGATTCTCCCCGGCACACTTACCCAGTTTCAGAGGTTGGGTGGTCATCCCAGACTGAGGAGAAATGGGCTTTTCTTCTGGGATACACGGTGAAAGTTCAAATCCATCTCTGCCTCCCAGGGGACTGCCCCCAAATATCCAGCAATAGGCGAGCCTGGGATGACTACTCTCTTAGGCACTCGCTGCTCTGTTGACTTTATATAAGGAAAGGTCCTTATTGCTTTTAAACTTCTAGCATGTCACATAACCCCCAAACAAAACTCCAACCCACATGAAGGTTTTTCAAAGAACCAAGATTCGTCTTACAAGTGTGAAGGTGTAACCATCACTTGGGATGCAGCGAGGTCCTCCCAGCCGCTCCCCAGCAGCCCCGCCAGGGGCCAGGTGCACCCCAGCCCTCTCTGTAGGCAAGAGTGGAGCAAGGAGTAGCAGGATCCCAGGGGCAGATTGCACGGCTAGCTGGAACCCTGCAGAAACCACTCCTGAAAATGCAAAAAGCAGGACGTTTCTGCCCTGTGTGTAATCCAGCCAGAGCAGTGATATAAATGAACTTTTACTTTTTTTTCCCCACTATATGGTGGCTGTGAAATTTTTCATAATCACAAGTAATTAAGGTGGTGTCATGCCTCATTCAACACACCATGCCCCAAAATACCTTGGCTTGTGCCTCTTGCAATAGCCAAAGAAACACCATGTTCTGCAAGTCAGGTTTTAATTTTGCAGCTTCGTATCCCAGTATGAGCCTGGGCTGGTTTTATGAATTCTGATTAGGTTGCAGCCTAATGTGGTGCTCTGATATATGCCGACTGGAGGGAAGGGGGATCTAATAGCCCTGGCCCAAGCACCGAGCTGGTAATGAAGAAGGGTTGTTGTTCGTCATTTGCATAACATAAAAAGAAGATCCAGATCTGGGCTTAATAAATTCTTCCTCGTATGAAATAACACAGTTACAGCCATTTCTATAAAAATGTCAGCGCCTTTATGTAATGTTAGTGTTCCTTCAGAACATAAAATACAGTCCTACAACTTAATAAAAATCACTCGTGTCACTGCCTGGACCTCTTTGAAGTGCCGCTCTGCAAGGGCAGGGGCATGAGCTTCAGCAGCAGGCGCGTCCTCACACGGGGTGCGAGACAGTGTGATGAGGAGAAGAGCTAAAGATAGGGTGCAAGAGCTAAACCAGGGACACTGAGGAGCAGGCACAAAGCAGCAATGCCCTGGGTGTGGATCCACTAAAAAGACACACTGCTTTTTCTGGTTTGGTGATGTTTCAGCCCTATTTTCCCTTGAGAAACTCTAGGTGACCCGAGATGCAGAGATGACAGCAAGCTCAGAGATGCGTCAAAGCCCTAGCCGATGGGAGGTGGATGGATTAGGTGGCAACCAGCAAAGCCAGCACCATGTGATTAGTTCGGATGCTGGGCACAACTTACAGAAGGCAGATTCAGGTTCTTAAAGACAACGGGTGACGCTGAGTGCAGAAAAAAATCACAGCAGTGGTGGGGACAGCACAGCTGTGACTGCGGGGAGGTGGGGATGGTGCTGCAGAGGCCTCAGCTGGCCACTCCATGTGGTTTCCTCTGTGGCATTGCCCCCTTCGGAGGGCCGCAGGTGCCCCACACCTGGGCCAGTGCCCAGCCTGGATGGTACGCAGTGCTCTCATCCCTCTGAGCGCAGCTCAGCCACAGCTCCTGCAGAGTGACGGGAGGTGCGTGGGGGTCAGGAGTCCTGGCCTTGCCCTCCGAGGAGCCCTAGGGAAAGCCCTAGACTTTCATTCTTCTCCTTGAGCAGCCCAAGGAGCTGAACCCCACCTGGATCACAAATGGCAGCTAGTTTCCCTTGAAGACAGATACACTTTTCATACTTTGAGATGTTGAGAATCATGGTGACCCTGGAAGAGTCATCACACCACAGCGGGATTGCGAGTGCTATTTCTCAATGAACTAGCTGAGATGCCAGAAGCAGCCTAAGTGCAAATTCAGTGCTGCTTCTGGGTTAAAATAACCCCGAAAGGGTATGAACTGCCGCAGAGCTCAGCGAGCAGTTTGAGGAAGTCACATTTCCTCCCACAGCGCCCCGCTGTGCCACGTCAACATCTCTCTGAAAGGACAGAGAACAGCAAGAGCCCAGACCTTGCCTGTTCTGCTGTGGGCAGGTACGAGTACAAACTCTTTCCAATGGCCACCACCGAGCATCAGGGCTTGGAAAAGA